TACCCTAACATACTGCATTATACTCTAATCCTACTCCTACTATGCTCTACTCCTACTCTACCCTACTCCCACTCTACTGTACTCAACTCTACTCTAATTTCTTCTTCTACGCTACTCTACTCTACCATCTATCCTACTCTACTCTGCTCTACTCTACTCTACTCTACTCTTCTATTCTACCCAACTCTACTCTGCCCTGCCCCAAGCCGTGGGCCTGGTGCTGATGGCGTGCCTGCTCACAGCCCAGGCGACCGCGGCGGAGGTACAACTCCACCTAAGCAAGAGCGAAACTGGGACGACCCAGACGTGCTGGACGACCTCACTACCGAAGGGCCGCCAGAAGAAGCACCAGAGGACAGGAAGAAGCGCCTGGCAGTCATCCTGGCAGCAGCAGCCAAGAGGCAGAAGGTACGGGGGCCACAAGGTCCACGCCGACGCCGACCCCCAGTCCAGCGACGTCGACTGGATCGAGCGGCAGATCGACTGGGACTTAGTGGAGCAGGCCAAGTACAAGGATTCAGGACCGAACTTGGACGCGGGCTGGTGCGCTGCCAGGCCTCCAGAAGATTTCCAAGCCCAGAGCAACCATGGGCACTTCATATCCAGAAGCATGGCGCCGCCACCTCCAGAAGCGGAGCTCGCTTATCCTCGTGGGCCAGTGACCCAGAGCTGGCTGTGCCGCAGCGGCTTCATCGGCAACTGGGAGGAGGTGCCCAGGGGCAGCGAGTGCGCCCGGAAGTGCTTCCCCAAGGCGGAGCGCGAGGGTCAGAAGGCGCTCTTGCACTGGGACTGGTGGAGCGGGGCGGGTATCGACAGGTGCGCGGAGGCGCCTGGGCCGATGCCGTCAATCCGGTGGTGTACGGCTGGACCCAGGACAGACGAACATCCTTCGAGAGCATGGGACCCTCCACCGGCCAAGCCGAAGAGCATTCGAGGGTACCCTCCCCCAGGATGCACAAGAACATCCAACAAACTCGAAGAACAATAACATTAAGGTCCCCTCTCCAAACCGACCTCGATCTTATGCCTCGGTCCGGCTGTATGGGCAAGCCTCCCCCGCAGGGGGATCCTCGCCCTGGTGCTCAGCATGCTTGGCGAGTTGACGGGCATCTGGAGGGCCACGCTGTGGAGTGGCTCTCTCTGACACATCACACGAGGGGAAATCTGGCAGGACACCGACGATTGAATCGACTGGTGCGTGCCTTTCATGGTCGTACTCTTGGAGCGGCCGCGCCTCATCCTGCCTTTCGCGCGGTCGCCCCCACATCCAGTGTCGCTCCCCGATTCGATGTGGCTTTGGGCAAAAGGCATCTGCGAATCTGTCTGGGCACGGACTGCGCAGACACGCAGACGCGCAGTAGGAACATGGCCGTCATGGAGGCGCTGAGGGATGAGGCCTGGAACAAAGCAGCGGTAAGGCACATGAGCGCGCTTGCTGCTCGTCGCCAGGTCATCGAGCCGCTGAGCATGCCCAACTCGACCAGGAGTGAGCTACCATCAACCCGCCCTGCGGAGCACGGCTGTCCTGATCGCTGGCCCCACCGCAATGGCGCCATTGGCAACTGGGAGGAGGCGTTCGAGGGCAGCGAGTGCGACCAGAAGTGCCACCCACAAGTGGAGCGCGAAGATTTGAAGGACCACGAGGCCGCCGTGCTCGATTGGAGTGGCACTTCTTCACCACCCAAGGGAGCTTGGGCGCCATCAGCTACGACGCCTGCTGAACGCATTCCTTTGGAGCTCACCGGCGTAGTGCAGCAGGCCCCAGTGATCAAGGGGCCTCAGGAAGCAGACATCACGCGCGAAGCCACGGGGGGTACGTACTTTGGCAACAGACCCGCGTGACAAGGAAACGCCTCGCTCCAGACGATATGCACACCGTGAAGGTGCACATATGCAGCGGTCGCTACGGAGCTTGGCCGCGGCATGGTACTACCCCACCACGTCGATGCAAAACGAGGGCGCGGCCAACAGGTACTGGCTACACTGGTGCGAACCGCACGCTTACGACTACACGCATCACCCCATCTTCGGCAACGCCGTCGAGAGGCAGGCGGCTGGTCGCGGCTGGACCCCGGGGGCGACGCGGCGGGCCGTTCCGCTGGAGGCCTGCGACGACGCATGGCGCAGGAGCAGGGCGGGGAGGCTCGCGCTCCAGCGCGACCTGCAGAGCCTCTGCGGCCCATGCGAGGAGGCCAATCGACGGGGCCTCCCAGACACCACGGCGGGGGCACCGCCGCCAGCAGAACCCCCCCTCGACATCGGTGTCGGCCCCAGCGCGGACTCGGGAGAGGAGATGCGCCACAAAGGGAAGCTGCAGCACCCCTACTACTCCGTGTCCCTCAGTAGTTCGGGAGCGGCCAAGAGGGGGGTGTCCAAGAGGGGGGGGTGCAAATCATGACCGGCGGCATGTGCGCGGCCCAGCGGGGGGGCCAGAGACGTAATGAAATAAGAAGAGGCGCCATGAGATCTGGGGAAATATCATGGCCCACGCCATGATATC